ATCACTTAAAGAAAAATCTTGAATTTATTTAACGTAAACGCACCTATTACCGCTACTTTAAGCATTGTTCAGATTGAGGCTCAAAAAGTAAGCATAATATTCGATTGATGTCTAATGAAAATAGTTTAATGCCACTTATCCCAACACTGGTAAACCCTCAATTAATTCAGGCGGGACTCACTAAATATGACACCCTGCTAATTCTTATTATAATCAATACATTGCCTAATGAAGATAGCATTAATAAGTATGGGTCCTGAGTACAGTACTTGTGAAGTCCAGAAATAAATAGAATTAGGAGTGTTCCTATAAAGTTCGTTAGCATATTAAAAAGATAGTAACTAGTGATATAATTATAGTTGGTACAAGAACACCTTTTAGCAATTATTACAGTCTACTGCAATCAATAATGTATGACATACTATTAATTATATTAGAACTAATTGCTCGGACAAGCAGAGCGACATGTGATTGTTTCAATATGTAAGATACAACATAATTGCATTGTTATATTATCTCTGTCACTACAACCTGTCTATAATTATTGACCACATAATGGATTCAATAATCCGCTAACCACATTATACATATTTATGAAATTAAAAATAAAAAAGGAAATCACTATACTAACTAACTGGCTGATGTAATGTATTGTAAAATAAACCATAAACTGATTACAAAAAAAAACAGACGAATTGAGTACCTCCTTCTTTTGCGAAAGGGAAAGAAAGAAACCCAGAGCAATCTGTTGGTCATTTATGTACCTTAGACAAAAACAATACACTCTTCAAAACATATCATGCTAATATTATAAATGCGAAAGTTTAGATGGATGGATGTATGTTGGAGTTTGTAGCCTAAACTGCTTTACGGATTTCGATAAAATTTGGGATTGATGTAGAGAATAGTCTAGAAGAATATATATGCTACTTACTTTTATACGGAGTCGCGGGCGAAAGCTAGTGGAAAATAAATAACCTTGTTTTCAGGCACAAAAATGTTTTCGCACAACTTCTATATTTATATATCAAAGCTTAAAAAGCAAAAATTGTGACTAACAAGCACGTTTACTTAAATATTAAAATTTCTTTAAAAGTTAAGTAAAAGATTAAGAAAAGATTACATGTCTTGGTAATTTTTAAGTATGAAACCTAAACCTAAGTCTATCATAATAAACTAGATGTAGTAATAAGTATAAACCGTTTAAAATACGCGTAAAACGTTTTCACACACTAACTATTCCATCAACGTCTTTTGAACATTCAGTGGAAATTACTTATAATTTATTATCTAGCATAATCGTTTCCGGGGATATAATCTTTTACCGTTACATCTATAAATAATCGAAGTAAAACTTGCAAATTATCAAAGATATTTCATACCGGATTATACTTATGTATAAAAATTACGTACTTAGCAAAAAATATGGCGTCGACTGAACCGACAAGATCTCGAGGTGATGGGTCGGGGACATGTTTACAAAAAAGTGACAATAAAAAATGTATAATATTATAAAACTATAAAACAAAACAAATCTATTTTAAATAAGGAATGTTTTTAATAAAACATTTATTTGAATGATCGAAATGTAAACTAATTACTACAATCTACTGATAATTATTAAAACTCTCGAGAGAAATTTCAAATTCACTTAAAAAAATAAACGCTTGAACTTACTTAAATTAGTCGATACATCCTCTGAACTGCACTTTAACACTTTAACAAACTTAGTTGTAATTTAACATCATCTCTGATATAGGATACTTTATGCTTAAAAATGTTTCAATAGGCTTAATTTTTTTACTTACTAGATCTTTTACTTGGTCCTTGAAAGCTACACTCCCATCTGGTTTTTTCTGTCTTTGATTATGGAAACTACCAACTATTAAAAGTATAAATTATGATGAGACCAGTAATACTAAACTATGCAGTGAAGACTTGTTTGTAACATTGTGTGGTCTCTAACTGCATTGCGTCTCTTTATATTTTGTAATGTATTTTCGCCTCCCTCGACGAGTGCGGCGTCGCCCTAGCAATCAACTCAAGTGCGACCTTCCGCTTACTATCCTTGCAGCGCGCGTCTTCCCGCACTGCCTACAGCTCTGATACATTATCATTCAATTGCTTTTGTTTAACCTCACGTATGAGTCTCACGGGTCACACTTTTGATTTGTTACATATTCTTCTTTCTATCCGCACGATTTAGTAGCGCAATATAAGAAAATTTTACTATCTTGTTTGATGCACAAAAACGTTGCACGAGGGAAAAATATTGTGTAACCTAATCTAACATTATAAATGAGAAAATTCAGATGGATGGATGTTTGTTAGAGTTTGTAGCCTAAACTACTGAATGGGTCTCTATGAAATTTAGCATAGATGTAGAACATAATCTGGAAGAACAGATAGGCTAATTACTTTTGTTTATTAGTTAAAGCCGACAGGGTCGCGGGCGAAAGCTAGTAAGACAAACATGTATATATGACATGACATGCATTTCATCCAATAGTTATGTTTTAACTCGTAGAGTAACTAGTAAACTATTTAGTTGATATCAAGATGACCATAATAGATCCACTTTATCTATAAATTTGGTATCCAAAATGTTATTTTTATGATAGGTCCAAAGATAAATTTAGCACCCATGTCGGCTAATTTTAGAATGACACACAAAGGAAGAAGATGATTTGCATTTTTATTAATGAAGAGGTGAAGTCATCTTGCACCGAGTAGCCGTGATGTCTCGCTTTTATTTAAACAAGAAAATCTGTGGCTTGAAAATATTAAAAAAAGTAATTGTGCTCAGGGAAAATTAAAAAGAATATTCTGGAAATTTATATTGATAGTCAAATAGTAATACGTAAGTAGATATTTGTTTTTTTATCTACTTAAAGAAAATGCATTTCACGATATAAAATGGCTGTACTTAGGAAATGAAAAGTATCAGTATCGTGTTTCAAAGGGCGCTACTGGTGTCGTATTTCACAGACCCTTCACTATAAAAGCATAAGCTTCTCGAATTACTTGCATTCAGTGGTTTGTTTGCGTCAAAGCAACTTAAAAATGACCTCCAGTAACATTTAGCCTTTGCCGCAGACCCGTTTAAAGTAGGTCTTATTTTTATATCAGTCTTCGATAATAACTTGAGCGTAAAGTTGACCTTTAAAAGTTATAAATAAGTACTGGAGTTACTATACTTTTAATTGAACTTATTTTTAGTCTTATTTTATTTTTTAGAACAAATTATGGTGATCATAGCTTGTGACCATCTTAATTATAATCAATATCATTTTTTCTACCTCTCGACTCACAAAATTATTTAATAACGTATCTACCCAAAGTTTTATACCTTTACATTTGTATTAAAACATATTCTCATGTTTCTGATTGAGATCTTTGATTTGTAAAGTTGTAATTGTTTGTTGCAGATATAAAGATGTTGTTTTTGCGGCGGGTGCAGATGGCTCTGCTGGTGTTTGCGGCGGGGGCGGCGATGTGCGGGCGCGCGGACGCGGCCAGCGCCGCCATGAAGCTGTGCGGCCGCAACCTCGGGGTGATTCTCAGCAGGGTGTGCAGCGAATACAACAGCCCCGCATGGGATGTACCCACAGGTAAATCTACCTTACACGACATCGTGATACTTCACATCACAACGTATATTTTTCCGTATATATAGTTGTTATACCGTTACTAGTAATTACATCTGACTGTTATCAGATAAGCAGTACAGCAGTGCACCGTAGTCAGTCTTCACTGCTATATGTTTCATCTTCTTATTGGAATTCTGTCAATCAACAAGTAATTTTATTGTAGTTTACTTAATAATAACAATATCTTATTTTTTTAAACTGTAACACATATGTAAATGTTTATGTAGGAACGTACATTGATATAAACTTATTTGATAAGTAATCCTACAAGAACACATCAATTTATTCATGCGTTGACGCAATACACGCACTAAGACAATACACGTGTCTCATCCCAAAACGACACAATCGGTGGCGATAAGTGTATGACGACGGTCATTCACATAAACTTTTCACCCAAACTATTTATGTACCAAAATAAATAACATCATATTACTTTAACGCAAAAAACTCTTGCTCGAAATGCTTTCTTAGTTTACAAACGGTATAATCTATGTTTTATTGATTTCTAAGATTGATTAGAGGTTATGATATTTTATTTACTCACGTGTTTGTGAACAAACCTTTAGATTAAAGTAAGGAAAAACTTTTGTCGAATTACGGTTACTAAGAAACTGTAAAATTTGTTACCAATGTGTTTAATAAAACTCGAAAGACTTCACCTTATCGATTGTTGGTGATACCAGCGACTTATACGTATATTATAATATCTCATAATCTGTATCTAATGTAATACTGAATAACTTATCTGAATACAATATTTGTTTAACTAATCTATCATTGTCTCTATTGCTTCAAGTAGAATGTAAGGGACGACAATATCTACTCTACTGCTACATTAAGCAAACGTTCTAGCTTGTTATTATAAATCAAGATGAAGATGGCTTCACGGACTTAGCGATAACCGAGAATTAAGATGGTTCGCGTTTACTTTCACTAACCACATAAACTACTTCCTTGAGGCAAAGTGAAAGGCGGGTCCTTAAGATGCTTTAAATGGTAATTATAACTCTACAAATCGCAAATAACTGCCACTCTGTAAATTTGTATGTGACTTAGGGCGGAATAATATTGAACAAAAATGAATATTGAACCCTTCGCTTCGCATACGCTGTTTATAATCTGATAGACATGAATTTTATAATGGAATTAGGTTTAGGCATTATATGTCGTTTCAGTGTACAGCCGTTAAGGTTTTACTTGAAGTTTATTACGAGTTTTAGCGAGTTAGGACGAATATCATGTATATAAGTAAATGGCTAAATATTCTCACGAGTTCGTGCAACATAAATCGTCTTATTTTTTTTGTCATATAAAAATTGAGGTCTACAAAATACATAAAACAAAAGAGAATTAGTATTCTTACCATAAATATGATTTGACTATGAGACCTGTTATATTGTTAAAAGATTAATGTTAATCGTAGATAAACTGGTCCCGAGATAACCTTTTGAAAATAACTGCCATTATCAAGGTTATAATCTAACTAGACGTAATTATATTCGCATCAGTGCCATCAAAGTTAATATTATAATATACACTTTAATTAACTTAGTAATTACCTAACAGATTTATGTTTTCAATCATCAATCGCAAAGAAAAATAATAGTTTACAGCGTCCGCCTGCCAACAGACATTATCAATGAGAAATAGAAATCCATATCTCCTTTATTTAGTAAAATATATAAAAAAGTATGCTATCTCTTATTCAAGCTGGATAATAATGTTAAATGTTAACATAAATTGGTAAATATTTTTTTTATTTTGTGGCAAATTTTGTTGAATACATTTAAAGATAATAGAACATGCCATGTGAACATGATTTGCCTTACCGCTAGTAATTCTTCCTATACTAATCATACAAATACAAATTAAACTGGTAACTGATTTGATAGAATTGGTTTTCGAGAACAAAATTAAAATCTAGTAAAACAATAACCATGTTAAAAGTCTATACTATTGTTGTATGCCTAACAATTAGCATTTCTACTCTCATTATAAAAGTTTTGTCTATATAACATTACGTCTAGACGTTAGTCCATATTAGTTATTAAATTAATAATATTAATACTTATTGTTGTACAAAAATAATTAAATAAATATATTGTATAATAGTTATATTATAAAGTTATGTAGAACAATTCTACGATTTATACGATCAACCTAATGAAAGTAATTTTATATATCATTTTCTCATCTGGACAAAAACACGAACAATGCAAGTTTTCTTCACAATTAATAAAATACATGAAGAATTTGACCCGCGAATACAGATCCTAAATACAAAGTATATGTATAACAGTAAGTGTTCACTGCCGTAGCTGTGCAATAACATCCTATCTCTGGTTATTGAGCGATTAATAGGAATAACATCCTTTTATGTGTTTAAATAGAAAGCCACGGTATAAAACAAGTGTAAACATATGTAAGTAGACACTCTACACACGCACATACACACACACATTTTCGTAAATATTTATCGGTGTTGATAAAAAAACAATCGTGGTACCTTAGATGTCTGACCAAAACATAATGCGACTTTGAACCGATCATACATAGCCAAAACAATAAACCCTTAGCTTTATTTGTTTTGGCTATGTACTTCTTTTAAATAATAAGTGCTGACTATTTAAGTATGTAACTTAATATTATTCGAAACCTGCTTAATTTTCATTCTTTGTTTAAATAATTTCGGTTCACTTAAATATGTGGCATTAAAATATAATAAAATCGTATTCAATTCACGATATTCTGTTACAAGCTGCAGCATATACATGCGTACGTACAAATGTAGTTCGTTTTTATCGCAACATTCAGCGACCTCTTGAGTGTTTACATCTAACATAATCACAGGAAAACAGACGGCTACTTAGGTGCACGTCCTCTTATTTAATATGACCCCTTCATTCTATCCTTATCACTTCATCACGAAACTATTCCGTGGCCTGTATATGCATAAAGGTCGATTTTGAAGGAAATAGAAGCAAAATTCAAAATAATGATGACTTTTAGACCTTTACGGGAAGCAAATCTTGAATTGGAAGTTCCGGAAGCTGAGATTTAGTTTATAAAAAATGAAATATATTGTTTATACCACGATAAGATAAGTTATAAAACAGTATGATGTAACTCACGTATGTTAAGTCTATCAAAATTAAAGTAGGGTAGATAGCATTGTATAAGATAGTTAACCGCCAATTCATAAATGTTATTTATACTGGGGTCATATGTCCAACAGCTGCTTACCGACTGATCCATATCTTCCGTGGTGCGTAGTGTACTAAAGAGGTCAAGAGTAATCCTTTTAAATGTTTGGATGCGACGTGAGTCAAGCGATGTACTCGTATCATGACGATCTGAGGTCAGGTCCACCGCCTCTCTCGCGATGCGGTAACAAAGTAATAAGATTATCTATTACTAGACCCTTTGCGGTTCCACTGACCGACATACGTCTGATAAATTATAAATTCAGTTCAATTTAATTTTCATCATGATTAATAAGATACGCGTAACTGGAGGGAGACCGCGGAACTTGCTGCTTTTAATTATTTGAAATATTTTTTAAAGTTTACTCTTTTCTCTTCGATTAACAATATAGTATGTTTATGAAAGTTTTTGCTACATATTCTTTAATACTCATCGTCGTATATGAATCTGTAACGTTGTTATTGTAAACAGTGTAATCTCTCTCGTGACATTGTCTGTTACACCTAGGTACTGCGTTTTAACATACATACACACGTAACAAGAACTTCTACGCAGTACCAAACACGAAGAACTTTCACAAATCCGGTGGGAGATTTCATATATTCAGTTTTCGTATATATAATATAGCTAATAGCAATAAAAAGGCAGAAAGAATGTCCCAGAATTATACAAATATGTGACACATTGTATTTAACGTTTTACAAAGTAGTTACAGTCATTAACATAAATATGTTTACATTTACAAAGGTTTTGAAAAATGCTTAATTTCAAAAGCGAAGGCCTACTTTACAAGTTCCTAAACTTTTGTAAATATGCATATTTATGCAGCTGATGTACAAGAATCATTTTTTTTAATTACCGTATTAAAAAAACTGTCAAAAACATTATACAAAAATTAAGTAAAAGTGACGGTACATTGTAATGTAAACGCACAACTAGAGTAATCATACTCTAGTTGTGCGTTTCGACTGCAGATACATAGCATAAATACATATTGCAGTCTCTGTTTTGTCATAGAGAAATATAGGGATGACAAATGTCAAGTAACACTTTAGTGGAGTTCTAGTGTACCTAATACATAATTTATATGCAACTTGCATTATTAAATTGCTAGTAACTATTCTGTTATCTTGCAATTTCAACTTGCTCACTTCTAGTATCTTGACTCCAAACCGATACAATTAGCTCCTCATAAGCAAATTGATAAGCTGACAAGCTTCTATAATGATAACATTGTCGCAGCCAGATGTTAAGGGCCTCTTAATTATTCGCACATACGACGAAATACTAAACTAGCTGGATACTGTCAAATGTAATAATAGTTATAAATGTGAGCACTTTTCTTCAAATATTTTAAGCATAATCGTTATCTATCTGAATAGTCAAAAGCACGTAACGGCTCGACGTTCGTAGTAGTCTGTGACTTTGACCTCTGCAAGTTGATCAAGATGTCATTGAGGTGTGATTTATAGCGGTGACAGATTAAAAATAAAAGAGTTGTCATTTGCAGTGATCGAGCAGACGGCGGGGGTGGTGAGGCGAAAGCGGGAAACCGGAATCGTGTACGAGTGCTGCACGCAAGGCTGCACCTATGAACATCTCTCAGAGTACTGCGCCACTACTGTTAAAGCCACGTGAGTATTTCCAATAAATATAGAGAGATTCTTAAATACACGAATATTGACCTGTTATCCAAGGACATAGATATTAACGTGATAAAAAGTCGACATTCCTCTTGATCCAGATGAATTTAGACACCACCAAAATTTATTAATAATTCAAAATTTCTCTAACTGTATAACTTATTCTAGAATATTCCACAATCCCTCTGTTATCTACGTTTGTTTGTCTTTTTATTTGGTAACAATCTTAAATCCGTTTGCTAATAAAAAATTGACGAAAACAGTAAAGTGTTGATAAGCAATTGACACGAGCGGGATAGCGGCCAAAGGTTGACCTTACAGAAGTTGTGTTCCATAAAGATTAAGAGCAATTGTAAACACTGGCTGAGAATAAAGTATTTTTTAATTGTTTGATAATAACAGCAAATTATTGATAGCGCACTATAAATATCTAACACCAATCATTTTTCCTTAATTTATTTTTGCCTGATAGAATGGAGGACAATGCTTTTCCCATGTGACTGCAGATAGACTGAAGTTCTTATCCCTTAGTTAAAAACTTGTAGTTATATTTTATTCGTACTATTTTTTTTAATTAATCGGAGAAGCAAACTGCGGTACTAATTACATTTTTTTCCTTCAGTTCAGAAACCTCGGTGGATTCGCACATGATCGAGGACCGGTCTG